AGAGAGAGCAAGTCCAGGCTTTTGGGAGGAGCAGCAAGAAGGGCCGAGGATGCCCCCGCCTGCACAGCAGCCTGTGGCCCCGGCCCAGGGTCAGCATGGTCCTGGGAGTTGCAGAGGGGGTGCCCCTCAGCTGAGCCTGTTCGGGGGGGCTGCAGACACCATTGACCCACGCAGCTCGGGCACTGCACGCCCGTCAGCAGGTCCTGCGATAATCCTGCTAAGTGAGGCCTGGAGCTGGGAGTCAGCTTCCTGGATGCAGAACAGACCTTGCCCACGGTGCTGGGGAGGCCCCGCTGCACAGACACACACACACACACACAGACACACACATGTGCACACACGCAGGCACACACAGGTACACACGCACGTACACACACAGAGACACACAGGCACACACACAGACACACACATGTGCACACGCAGGCACATGCAGGTACACACGCACATACAGAGACACAGAGACACATAGACACACACGTGCACACACGCAGGCACACACAGGTACACACGCACGTACACACAGACACACACAGGCACACACAGACACACACAGAGGCACACACACGTACACACAGACACACAGCAGGGGCAGGGGCCCATTTGAAGGCTGGGCCATCTCCAGCACCCAGAGAAAAATAGACCGATTTTTTTCTAAGTCTTAACTATTCCACCTTAAATGATCCGCCTTGGAGTAAACTACAGCCAGGTGGTTCAACTGGACAGAACTGGGGAGGCCCAGGCTTGTGGGTGTGGCTTACGCCTGTCACACTTGGAAAGAACCCTACTTCCTGGGAGCCATTGAATACAGGGCCTGCTGCAGGCAGCTGGAGCCTGGGTGCAGCCTGAAGGATGGACTGGGCCCTTCCAGGTTCCCCGACGGCCCCGGAAGGAGGCAGGGCTTGGCCGCAGGCAGGCAGACTCTTTCCCCCAGGCCCCTCCCCACGGGAGCCCCGTAAGTCCTGGGTCAGGAGCCCGTGGCCACACATGTGGAAAATAGGGCAGCTGGGAACAGAGAGGCCTGGAGGGTGGCCACACATCAGGCTTGCCTGGGCCACAGGCAGGGAGACAGGGGTCCAGGCGGGGGATGCACAGACTGGCGGGGGCTCCAGGAGATGAGAGCACGGAGGCCACAGCTCCCGAGTCGGGCCCCAGGGCAGCTGGAGAGGTCACAGAGGGGAAGCGGTCCGTCCTCCAGGGAAGCGGAGCTGCCACGGGGCCCCAGGGGTCAGCGGGCACCCTGGAAAGCCCAGAGCTCTCCTGCAGGCCCTGCTGGGCACCGTCCACAGGCTGGGGTGGGCAGAGCAGCTGAGCTTCCTGAGAGCTGTGCCCACGCCAGCTCAGGGCCCAGGGGTGGGGTGGAGGCGTTCTTGATCCGGTGACAGGTGGGGACCGGGGGCTTCTCAAAGCCAAGGACTGAACCCCAGTGGACCCCCAGCTGGAAGGGGGAGGGGGGGCATGTTTAGAAGAAAGAAATCTGAGGGTGAGGTCCTTACGAGGAGGTATCCAGGGTATGGAGGAGAGCTCGCCTTGCGGGCGGGAGGTGGGCAGGGGGCTCCCTAGCACAGGATGAGGGGGTCCTCCCTCCCTCACCCATAGGAGCCCCCGGGCCTGTGGCTGGAGCCACCCTGGTGTTCATGAACTCAGCAGAGATGAAGCCGCTGCCAATCCCATGGCCAGACCCGGAATCTGGGGCAAAGGTGAAGACTCCACACGCCAGCCCCAGCAGGCGGGCCGGCAGAGGCGGCGGCCTGGGGCCTCAGCCTGGTCCACGGGGCTGGGGTTCCCACCCCTCAGCCAGGGGTGGTCTGAGGTTCCCCAGGGCAGCTGCAGGCCAGGCCAGGTTGGGAAGGGAGGAAGGGCAGGGAGCAGGAAGGGAGGTAGGGCTGGGGCGTCCACACGCAGTCCAGCCCTACGGACATCTCTGCTTTTGGGCGACCAACCTTTGTAGACAAAAATTAATATGCTCGTAGTTTACCATTCATAATAACCACTTCTTTACAATGGTGGTTCCCCAGAGACCTGCTTGAGGGGGTAGCTGGCTAAGCCTGGCCATGCTCAGACTCCCCAGGGGCCCCAGAGGCAGAGGTTTGACCCCCAGGGCCCCACGCCTGCCTGGAGGTCACCTTGAGCTGAGCTGGGGAGAGCCAGCCCAGGAGGGCAGAGACCATGAGCGGGCCCGGCCACCCTGGGGACCAGTCAGCCCTACCCGTCTGCACCCTGAGGACACCCGATCATGTCTGTCACCCCCTCTCAGCTCTCTGGACCAAGGTGTCCCTTGCAGTCTGAGATTTCAGGTATGGACACGAAGGCAGCCCACGGGGGCCCACAGCCCAGCTGCCTGCGGTGTTCACCCAGCCCCCGGAGGCCCACTGCTGGGGGCGCCCAGCTCCACATCCCGCAGGCACGGCCAGGGGAGCCCCCAGAGCCCAGCACTGCGTGGGGGCCTGGAGCTGGATGGGAAGTGGCCGGTGGGCAGCTCCACTCCTGCCCGGCCTCTCTGCTCTGAGGAAGGCCGGCTTCCTCGTGCAGCCGGGTGGCCAAGATGACCCAGATGACCGGGTGACAGAGCCCCATCCACCCGCACGCCAGCGCAGGCTGGGTTCTCACCATTCACGGCTTCCGTTCTGCCTCAGAGAGCAAAGCCCTCTAACCTGGGAGATGATTTCTCCTAGAACTTGGTGCTTAGGGGAGGACGGGGTTTGTTCTCAGGGTGCAGAGGTTCAGCTCTACCCGATGCAGAGAGCCCTGGGGTGACGGGGTGACGGCCACGTGACAGAAGGGAGGCGCTTAATGCCGCTGAGCTGTGCACTTAAACCCGGCTCAGACGGCACATTTTACGTGACGGGAAATTTACCGTCATAAAAGACTGGAAACAAAACCAGACACAATGTCCAGTCTTGCCCTCGGGACCCGATACGGCACATTTGCATAATCCATCTCCAGGCACTCTCCCCCAAAGCGGGTGACCGACCACCTCGCCGCAGACAGACAGGTCACACGACACACCAACCCCTGTGCCTGCATCCTTCGGGGGGTGGAGGGGCGCGTCCGGTGCGGCTGCCCTTCACACCCACTGGGTCGAAGGTGGCTCCCAGCAGTCCCTGAGGCCAGTCTTCACCAGGCATCCGGGCATGCCTGAGCCCTCCCACACCCTCTGAAACAAGGCCACGTGCAGACAGCTGCACATGCAAGCCTGCCTGCACATGGGAGCAGACTCCAAGTCCTCACCCCTCTCCGGGTGGGGTCACCGCCCCGGCCACACGGAGAGCGGAGGGGCCAGAGCCCACGTTCCAGACATGCCCTGGCACCTAGCCCTGCGGCCCAGGGACCCCTGGAGGCCTGACTGGGGGCCCAATTAGGAAGCAGGAAGCTGCCCTCCAAATACACGGTGACTTGCATCTGAGCTAAAACCCTGGCAGGACCCCACACTCCCTCTAGTTACCCCACTCCACCAGCCCCGTCTCTGGGTTCCTCCTGTCTCCCCACTCCACCAGCCCGTCTCTGGGTCCCTCCTGTCATCCCACTCCACCAGCCCCATTTCTGGGACCCTCCTGTCTCTCCACCCCACACAGACCCATCTTTGGGACCCTGCTTTTCAAAGCCAAGACCTGGCTGGAGGAGCCAGAATCCTGGGGTCGGTGGAGGCTGCGGGCAGAAGGGTGGCCCACTGCGCTCGTGAGGCGGGAGGGCCATCCCTGGGCAGAGGTGCAGAGAGCCCAGCCTGGGGCTGGGAGTGGGGCATGGAACACAGCACCAGGCCCACCAGCCTCACCTCTCCTGGTCAGTCTTTGCCCCGAGGGTCCCCAATCTCCTTCCCAGGCCCGCTTTGGGAACATCTGGTTGATCCCGAAGCCATCCCTCCCAAACCTGGCCTTGGCTGACGTCCTGCCTTTCCCCTGGTCGGGGAGGCAGCTTCCTCTAGGCCCCACCTGCCCACCCACCCCCCTGCCACTCATGTCCCACGCCCCCGTGCTCCGTTGGGAGAGGCCAGGTGGCAGAGACTGTCCCAGGTGCCATCAAAGTCTGACACACTCACCAACCAAGAACCTCATCTTTTGGATCAACTGTCTCTGCACAACCGACAAAAGGCCGGGGTCCAACAGTTGGGTCCTGGCCCCAGAGGTGGTAGCAGTCCTCACCCCCTAGAGCACGGAGCACTTCAGCGTACTGTGCCAGGGGGCTCATTTCTCTGGCTTACAACCCCCCGTCCTGTACCCCGAGGCAGCAGTGGCTGTGACGCAGGGATGTGGGGGTGGGCAAGGGCGACCCGGCGCCCGCACGAGCCTCCAGGGCTGAAACACGGGGTGGCAGCTGCCTCCTCCGCCCCAGCCTCAGAGCCGAAAAGCTACTGTCCTTTCAGAAGCGACTCATTTACAACAGGCCCATCAGGCAGAGTCCCGGGAGCTAATTCTAACCTTTGCAGAGGCTTGTTCAGCCTCTTGGAGTTATAATTACCCCTGATCTCCAGGCAGGATAAGGCTGCAATCAGGAGCTTGGATCCGGCCAAGAGAAAGTGGAGAACGGGCTCGGGCGGCCTGTGTGGGGCAGGGCATCGTGGCCGCCACCTGGGTCCTGCCCCTGCCCGCCTGGAGGGACGGCTCAGCGCAGGCCTGGCCTCTGGGCTCCAGTGTCACTGCCACTCCAGATGCGGGGGGCCAGCCCCCCACGGAGTGGCTTCTCAAGCACTTCCCTCCCGGGCCTTGGGCTGCTCTGTCCACTGCTATAGAAAGGGGCTCGCCTGAAGGGTGAGTGGACCTCAGGGTCTCGGCCCCGGAAGAGCCCAGGGGCACGCCATCTGCACCCCCAGCTTGGCTGAGGGTGAGCTGAGCTACAAGAGCCCAGAGACCTGGGCCAGGAGAGCCTAGCGGTGGCGGGCTCATGGACAGCCCACCCGAGGCCTCTAGCATCGTTGGCCTGCCCCGCGGGAGGCACACCCTCCAGCAGACCCAGGCAGCCGGCCCAGCCCACACGTGTCCAGTCCACCCCGCCCGCGGCCTTACCTTGCCGAAGCTGCCCTTCCCGATGGCACGCAGGATCTGGAAGTGGTCCAGGTTCACTGCAGAGAGAGCAGAGGGGCGCCAGGTGAGGGGGCAGCAGGGCTGGTGCCCGCCAGGGCCCCCGGCCCGAGCAGTCTGCCCAGGGCCCCCACGTTGCAGGGAGCCCCCAACACCACAGGGAGCCCCCCAACTCCACAGGGAGCCCCCAACACTGCAGGGTGCCCCTGACACTCTGGGGAGCCCTCCACAATGCAGGGAGCCCCCCAATGCTGCATGGAGTCTCTGACACTCTGGGGAGCCCCCCACAATGTAGAGAGCCCCCAGTGCTGCAGGGAGCCCCCGACACCACAGGGAGCCCCCGACACCACAGGGAGCCCCTGACACTGCAGGGTGCCCCCAGACACCTCAGGGCGCCCCCCAACACTGCAGGGAGCCCCCAACACCGCAAGGAGCCCCCGACACCACAGGGCACCACCCAAAACTGCAGGGAGCCCCCGACACCGCAGGGCGCCCCTGACACTGCAGGGCACCCCCGACACCGCAGGCACCCCTGTAGGCATGAGCGGTCCACGTCACCCTGAGCGGGATCAGGTCAGCCACGGTGCTGCAGGGAGGGCCTGAGCCAAGGCAGAGGGGGGCCCCGGGGCCGGGCAGCCCCTCCTCCTGGGCGCACTGTAGGGGGAGGCCAGGCCACGCCGCCCACAGACGGGACGTGATCAGAGCACACGGCGCCTATAGCAGCCCCCAGCGAGAGCTGCCGCAAACCCAAAAAGACCCTCGGTCACCCCTCCAGCAGCCTTGGGGGCTGTGCCCCGTGGGTGTCTCCAGACCAGCTCGAGGGGGGCCTGCAAGGGCCCCAGGACAGTAACAGGGCCGCCCACCGTCTGAGAGAGACCCCTCAAGGCCTCACTGCCATGGACCTTCTCCACGGAGTCTGACAGAGAGGCCCCAATCCCTGGGGAGAGTCCAGTGTTTGTAACCGTCACAGCCTCCCGAGACAGGCTCCCCACATACAGGCCCGTCTGCAAGAAGCCCTCCCATGCCTGTCCACCTCCAGGCCGGCACCGGCCAGACCCGGGAAAGCTGCACGGCTCCCACGCCCAAGAGGCAGGTGCGGGGCGGCCTGGTCCTCGCTGGGACAATGCCCCTCGGCCAGCTCGGGACTGCCCCCTGCCCCAGGCGCCCGCGGCACCTCGGGATCTCAGGAGGTCCCCGCGGGCAGCGGGAAGAGGGTGGGGCATAGGGGCATGGGGCGGGGTGCCCAGCAGCCCATGGGGTGGGCCTGCGGGGGCTCAGGGCCCAGCCCCCCACCCGCCTGCCCAGTCCGCTCCTGGGGCCAGCCGGTTGCCGCCTGAAGACCCCCGGCTCCTTCCTCACTCGCCCGTGTGCCCACGGTCAGCGCAGCTTGGCTGCTTCTGTGCAGAGCAGAGGACGAGGCCGCGTCCGTGTCCACGGCGGGAACCACCGCCTGGACGGCGTCCAGACAGCCCAGACAAGGGCCCGGGGCCGACGGTGGTGCCTCCCTCCCTGGGTGCTGCGTGCCCTTCTGCCCCCACCACAGCCCCAGCAGAGCCCGGAGCAAGGGCGCCTCCGAGCCACGAGCTAGCGAGGTGCTTAGCAAACAAATCGTCGCTTTTAGAGAAAACCACGAATTCTGAGCTTTCGTGTTTCCAGCAGAGGAAAATGGGAAAGAACCTGTGTTAAGTAAGAGGCCAGACTCACAAGGCAGCCCCGTGCCTGCCCGTAAGGGGGCTCCTCGCGGGGCTGAGTGGATGGGTCGGCAGAGACGTCAGAGGCCACGGGCACCGAGCCAGGCTGTGGGGCAGGCCGAGCACCCCAGGAGCTGGCCTGCACGCCCCCCACCCCCAGGCTGTGGTCTGCACCGGCCAGCCTGCGGTGCCAACCTGTGGTTTTGACACAACTCTCCCCACTTCCTGAGACACCAGCAGGATGACTGCAGATCCCAGACCGCAGACCGCGTGGTGGGCGATGAGGGGAGCTGCCCAGGGAGACGCGGGGGGGGAAGGGAGCCCAGACGTGGCTGCCAGGCGTCTCAGGAGCACTGGGGCCGAGGCCCGGGGCAGGCCCAGTGCCGGGCAGGCGCACACGACGTCAGACCACAAGCCACGAGCAAGGACCGTCCCCATGGTGACCCGGCTCCAAGGCGGGGCTGGCCTGGACCCCTCCAGGTGAGCCTCAAGCCCACCCACTGGCCAGGGTCACTCTGCGCTCCAGTGACTGGGGGTCCGGGGACCCGTGGACCACGGCTCCACCCTGACGCCCACACCTAACCTACCCCTGCCCGCCCACGGGGGCAGGACGCCCCGGGTGGGGCCCACCACACAGGATGGCTCCCACCCATTCCCAGCCCCTGCCCACAGCCCCCCGAGAGAACCTGAGACCCAGAGCCCGCTTTGGGCCCCTCCTGCACCCAGGCCGGCTTTGGCAACACACCAGCCTCTGGACCCACTCTGGGCAGGACGGCACATCCCGTGAGCCCCGCCGCCTCCGCCCGGCGCAGGGCGAGGCTTTCAGCCCACCTCTGGCTCTCCTTCGGGCCTTTGATGACAGCGAAACAGAGACCACTGCGGGGAACCTGTCACAACAGCGGGGGCGTGTCTGCGCCCGCGAGGCTGCAATCCGGAGGACGCAGTGAGAGCCGTGCCACAGACGCCAGGTCACTGGGGGGCGCGCTGGAAATGCGGGTCAGGTCCCCCAGCGCAGAACCAGCGAGAGGAGGGGGCCGGGGCTGCGGGACCCCCGAGGCCGACAGAGGAACGTGTGTGTGCACAGAGGTGGGCGTCCCAGGACAGAGAGGAGGTGGGGGCACACTGTGTCCACCCTCCTCCCAACTTTCCGGCCACTGCTGGGCAGGGCCTGCAGCCCAGGGAGGCGCTGGGGGCCCGGAGGCCCAGTCACAGAGGAACAAGTCTCCAGCAGGAGGGAGGTCGCCGGGACGCTCAGCACACTCTCCCCTGCGTCCGACACCTCCCAGGTTACAGCACCCGTAAGAGGAAACGGAACTTCAGCCCCAACAGTCCTGTCTGACCTTGACCCATCTCTGCCGGGAGCCAGAGTTCTGCATGTGTCTGCTCGGGTCCACAAGGACACCAGGGGACCCCCGCGGGCACACAGGCACTGGCACAGACTCCTCTTGAGGTGGATAAATATTTTAAAACAAGGGTTTTGAGAACACTTATTCTGCAAGGCCAGCTTTGTGCAGAGCTGGCCATCGGAAGCACAGTGGTTGCTAGGAAAATAGGTCATTTTGACCCAGCCAGCTAAGCATGAGTGGAGGAAGGTTTTAATTCTATTTCACAAGGGCCGAGGTACCAACACTGGCTCCCAGCAGCACCCACGACCTCACGGGAGCCCACAGCGCCCTCTCTGCAGGCCCTGGCTTGGGCCAGCATCACCTGCCTGAGCCCTGGGGTCATGGGCCGCTTTCCTTATAACCCAGCTCAGCACTAAAGCCCAGGGGCCCAGACAGAGCTCTGTTCCCCACGGGGTCCTCGGCCACATTCCCAGATGGAGTGTTTCTCGTCTGATCTCCAGGTTTCCGCAGGAGACCACCACGCCCAGGAGAATGAAAGGAGCTCCTTTCTGGAAGCGGGGTCGTCGCTCCGACAGCCCTGTATCCCGGGAGACTGACTGACTGTCCCCGTGCCGCCGGACACAGGAGGCCTGGCCCTGTCGCCCTCCGCCCGCGCCATCGGTGCTGCTGGTGGCCAGGAGGCGAAGGTCACTGGCAGAGAAGGGCAGGGAGCAGAGGGGCAGCGGCCCCCCGAGTACCCGGCGAAGCAGCAGGGAAAAGTCGAAAGCTGCCTCTTGGGCAGCAACCAGCAGACCCGGAGCCAGAAGGCCAGTAACGTCTGAACACGCTTTCCCTAAAAATAAAACCATCAGCATTCCGTGCACACCTGGCCCAGCTTTCTTTTCCCCCCGAGAGGAGGACGCCCTGGCACCAACCTCTGTCGGGGTTCCGCACCCGGGGCAGCGCCTGCCCGCGTGGGCCCCAGGCCCCTCCCGACAAGCCACGGACGGAGCGTGCAGGGTCTCCTGAGAGTCCAGGTGCAGACGGCACTGCTCCCAGAAGCCGGGGCTTTTCTTAAAACAGACAAAGCTGCCTCCAGCGAGGAAAGCAAGGCAGAGTAAAAATAGACGGCTGAGTCGTGAGTCACCACCACGGCTACCAGCAAGGGTGCGGGAGCCCGGGGGTGGACGCTCCTGAGGCCTGGAGGGGCAGCCCGGCTCGCGACCCTCCGCCCCCACGTCCTGGCCTCCCTCGGCCTGAGACAGCATGGCAGCTGTGTCTCGGGGGCAGGCCTGGCTTGGCTTGGAGCCAGAATCCAGGCCAGCCAGCCCACCCGCCCCCGGGCACCTAGGCCCCCAGAGCATTCTTGGCCTCGAGAGAACCCACCCCAAAGTGGGGATCACGTGGAAAGGGTGGTCACAAACCACATGTCACGTGTTGTGGATGTTCACACCCAAGGTGACTGAACTGACCCAGAAAACCCGTCAGAGAAAATCACCCAATGCTTCCAAGGCCCGCAGAGCTATGTGACCGCCGGGCGCGTCCCGCCCAGCCACACACCCAGGCCCAGGCCCAGGCCCACCCCGCCTCCCTGCCTCCCACCCTGCCTCCCAGGGCTCCCTGCCAGCCTCTCGGGGCACCCACCCCACCTTCCTGCCTCCCGGGGCGCCTACCCCACCTCCCTGCCTCCTGAGGCACCCACCCCGCCTCCCTGTCTCCCGGGGTGCCCGGCCAGCCCTCCTGTGTGACGGACACGGGCACGCGCAGGGGCCTGGTCAGCAAACGGTTGCCTCACGGACATGCCGAGGCCCTGACCTGCCCAGTGCCGCTCGTCTTCCAAGGTTGAAGGTCTACGGGGACCGAGACCCGGGGGGCCAGGGGCAGGCCGTCCACGGGGGCCCCACGGTCAGCATTGTTTACTTCTCAGAGCAACAGGGTGCGGGGTGGGGATCCCTGAGCATCTCTAAGGACGGGAAGGATGGGGTTCTCCACCGCCCACCTCACCTCGTGGGAGGCCCTGTGACC